GTGTGAATCTAGCCTTAAAAGTGGGAAGATGTGTAAAGACTAGATTAATTTTAGGATTCCAATTTCAGATAGGATTAGATTATTATCTGTAATTTTGGGGATTAAGATTAGAATTGAGAGTTAGAAAAAGGATTGGAATCCTCTCTATTTCTGTATAAAAGGGGGGGGCACCTTCGGCTTAAAGGAGAGGAAATTGAAGAGGAAAATTTGGGGAAATTTTGGGAGGAAATTGAGGGAAAAGGGAAGAGAGAGTTGGCGAGCCTGGAAGGAACATTGGAGAGATTGAGAGAAAGTGCAGCAGCTTGTAACCAGATCTTCAAGGAAATAAAGCTTGATCTTTTGTATTTTTCAGGTGTGCACTGTTAATTGTTTTGGTGTTGTTCTGTTATGTTTTTTTTGCGAAAATTGCTTTGGTTTCCTTGTTAAATTGTTTCCTTCTGCAACGGATCTTGAGAAAGTTGGAAGTAGCCTTTCATAATTTTTATCTAATGCACTTAAGTTGTTGATTTAATGTAATATGGGTACTGTTTATCACTTTGCGTCAACATGGCTGTTTTGTTTCATGTATTTTCTTTAATTGGATTAGATTTTTTGGGGAGGGAAGACTTGGACGATGTGATTAGATTAGTTTAATTAAAGTAATTAAGCAAAACCCATGGAATAGCCTTGTTCAGTTCTGTTTTCCTTGTATGAAGTTTTTTTCTTAGGAATGCATTAGATAAAAAAAAAATACAGAAATGAGAGCAGAGGAAAGCTGCAGAAAAAAGAATATATATATATATAGAAAGAAAGAAAAGAAGCAGAAACGGAAAAAAAAAAAGGAAAAAAGAAACAAAAGAAACGGAAAGGGGAAAAGGTAGAGGACGATGAACAGTAATGTTTTGACTTTTTTCTGGGGTAGTTATTATTGATAAATAAAAAAATTGAAACAAAAGAAATAGAATAAAAAAAAGGCAGAAACGGGAAAAGGGCAACAATGTTTTTTTTATTATTTTATTTCTTGCTTTT